CTGTTCTACATTGCTAAATGGTTTATGCAATGTTTGGTTTGTCACATCCGTAATCCTGGGAAGACAATCAAAACTTCATATTCATTTCTGCCACTTGATGGCCGTTTAAACATTTATAAACAGAACTCATTAAGTTGTACTTTCTTTGAATTCACTCAGGGCAAAAGACTAAATAAATGTGTCCTTACAGAAGAACAAAGACACTTGATAATTGACTTGTGATGCATGACTTTTGTTCAAATTCACCTCAATCACAAAGGAATCTGTGTACAGAGAAAACACATTTAATAACTTCATCTAGGCCGGACATGGTGGCTCACGCCTGCAATCCCAGCACTTTGGGAGGCCAAGCAGGCGGATCACCTAAGGTGAGGAGTTGAAGACCAGCCTTGGCAACATGGTGAAACCCTGTCTCTACAAAATATACAAAAATTAGTTGGGCATGGTAGCACATGCCTGTAATCCCAGCTATTTGGGAGGCAGAGGCAGGAAAATCGCTTTAACCTGGGAGGCGGAGGCTGCAGTGAGCCGAGATCGTACCACTGCACTCCAGCCTGGCAACAGAGCTAGACTCTGTCTCAAAAAAAAAAATACAGAAACATACAAAGAAGAAAAAAATAATTTCTGATAATTTCAACATTCACAGAGTTAACACTTTAGTATAATCATTTTCAGTCACTTTTTATGTATTTTCTATATGGGTGAAACACAAAGGATAGAGAAACATGTTAAACAACACCTTACGGATGTAATCAGTAAAATCCAGAATGTGGGAAACTCTATAATACAAATGACCTACATCTTCCATAAGTAAATGGTGTCTAAGTTTGGTTTCCTTAAAAGCAAGGACTAAGAAAAGTGAAATAGGTTAGCAGAAAAAGCCAGTTCAAGTGTATGCTATTGATTACCCACTGTAGTCACCTTAAGTAGACAACCAGAGTTCAACTCCCCTTGGCCCATCTGAGAAACCATGTAGTTTGTGTATCAGAATCGATCATGGAAAACATTGAAAAGAAAGGGTATCCGCCAATTCTCAGCAGTGTTAACGCCTTTGTACCACCAAATGTGTGCATGTGCCAACATGGTTGAGTGTGCTCCTGCAGGTGTCCCATGCTACAGCAGCAGAGATGCCCCATAGAAGAAAGCAACAGATAGACAACATAGCTGAGGTTTTGTCCTGTCGAGCTGCAACTCTGTACAAATAACTGCTGGGGCAGCAACCTGAGCAAAAAGATGGGCTGAGAAATGTGAGACAAGACGTAAAATATGTCTCACATAAATGGCAATTAAAAAATACATAAAAGAAAAAAAACTGTAGATGAAGACTGAAGAGACATATCAATCAAATACAGTGTGGAGGTTGATTTAAACAAACCAATTGTAACACTTATTTTTTAGATACAAAAATTTGAACAGTGCCTGGATATCTGCTATTAAAGAATAACTGCTGTCTGCTATCTGCTTTAAGAGAAAACTGGTCAGATGAGTATTATTGCTTCCCATTTTCACCAGTAAACAGTTGCCACTAATAAATTGACAGCCAGGAGTCTGTCAAGAATGCTCAAGATATGTTATATAATAGAAGATGCCTGTTCACAGGGGGAAAAATCCTAGGAAATAACTCATATGTACTTCTTGATTTCATCATACAAGACAAGCACAAAAGCACCACCCATGCCTCTGAGAACCATGGACCACGCACCCTTAAAAAAAGCTTTGCCTCCTTCATCACGAGCAATCTTCCTCCAGCAGTCAAGCTTTGCGCCCTGACTGCAACATCATGTAGCAGTGAACAGTGTCAAATGGATAGGAAGTCAACCCAGCAACAGCAGTGACAGTCTGTGCGATCATCCAGCTGATGACAAAATGAGTGTTCCTGGGATCCGGAAGCATTCCCTTTACAGTGTCATAGATACCAAAGTAGGCCGCTTGGTAGACAACAATACCCTGCACAGACACGTTAAAACCTTGGTATAGTCCCTTAATCCCATCAGATTTGTAGATCTTAACCAGGCAGTCACTGAGGCCTCCAAATTCTCTTTCAGCTCCAGCTTTACCCACATTGGCTGCTAGACAGGTACAGGCAAAATCAAGAGGGTACACAAAACACAAGGATGTGGCTCCAGCAGCACCCCCTGATGCCAGATTCCCTGCAAAGTAGTGCCAAAACTGGGTCCTTTTGTCCACATCACCAGGAAGATCTGCTTGCATTTATCTTTGAAGGCAAAGTTAAGAGCCTGAGTGGGGAAGTATCTGATAACATTGGCTGGGTTACTGCACCAGAAGGACAGTACTCCCTGCTCCTTGGGAATACAGACCATCAGTCTATAATGCCCTTGTATCGCTTATCTGCAGTGATCTGCTTGCTGGCATGCTGCACCTGCAACAGCAGCTTGACCCACTCGATGGGCGCTACCGCCATCTTGGAGATGGCTGCAGCCACTCCACTTGCCAGAAGTCCTTGGCGAAGGACACAGTGGCATCTGTCATGCTGAAAGGAAAGAGGAGCCAGGCTACTGTAGGATGGGACTAGGCTGGGAACTGGCTTTGACTCCAGGGCTGTAGGGCTCTACATAGTTTTTTTTGACCTAGAGATACGTGAATGTTAATAATGTGGGCAAAATATTAATAAACTGTCTGGTTAGAAAATGACATTAATATTTTTGGTTCCCTAAGCTCACTTTGTTATTTCATGTGTCTGTACTTTCTTTTGAGACAGGCTCTGGCTCTACTGCCCAGGCTGGGGTGCAGTGGTGTCATCTCAACTCTGCATCATCCACCTCCCAGGCTCAAGCCATCCTCCCACCTCTGCCTCCCAAGTAGCTGGGACTATAGACACACATCACCGAACCTGGCTAATTTTTTTATTTTTCATAGAAATGAGGTTTCACCATGTTGCCTGGGCTGGTCCTGAACTCCAGAGCTCAAATAATCTGCCTGCATCAGCCTCCCAAAATGTTGGGATTACAGGCATAAGCCACACAGCCTGATCCATGTGTCTGTATTTTTGGCCATACAATTTACTCACTCTGAATGATGTCCTTTCTTTCTCCTACTTATAATGAGCTATTATTCATTTTCCAAAACCCAACTCAAATAGCACTCCATTTAGGATGTTTTCCTATATGCTCTCTCAAGAATTAGTTTCTTAGCTGGATGCAGTGCTTATGCCTGTAATCTTGGCACTTTGGGAGGCTGAGGCAGGTGGATCACCTGAGGTCAGGAGTTTGAGACCAGCCTGGCCAACATGGCAAAACCTCATCTCTACTAAAAAAAAAAATTTAGCCGGGCATGGTGGCACATGCCTGTAATCCCAGCTACTCAGGAGGCAAGGCTGGAGAATCACTTGAACCTGGGAGGCGGAGGTTGCAGTGAGTTGAGATTGTGCCACTGCACTCCAGCCTGGGAGACAAGAGTGAAACTCCATCTCAAAAAATCAAAAGAATTAGTTTCGTTATATCCTACTCCTATAACATACATAGTCATGTGCTGCATAATGATGTTTTGGTCAACAATGGACTGAACATACAGTGGTGGTCCTATAAGATTATAATTGAGCTAAAAAATTCCTAGTGCCTAGTGACTTTGTAACAATAATAACATCGTAGTACGACTATTTTATTGTTAAAATAAATTTAGCACAGTCTAAGCGTACAATGTTTATAAAGTCTATAGGTGCACCATTTTCCATCCTTTGTACCATATTTTTACTATACCTTTTCTATGTTTAGATATGCTTGGATACACAATTACTTACCATTGTATTACAATGCCCTACTGTATTCAGTACAGTAACATGTCATACAGGTTTATAGCCTAGGAACAATAGGCTATACCGTATAGTCTAGATGTATAGTAGGGTATGTCATCTAGATTTGCATTAAGTACTTCATGACATTTGCACAATAACGAAATCACCTAAGGACACATTTCTCAGAACATATCCTCATCATTAAGTGACCTATGACTGTACAAACAATTCTTGTTATTTGTGGTTATGTTCTATACAGTCACCGTGGACAATGAATTAGTGAATATCAACTTATTGCTCTTGGGGAAATTCAGGGTTAAGCTCCTTTGAGCCTATGGTCACAACATTTTCAGAACCAATCAATATATAAATTGGTTTTATTTTATTTTATTTTTTTGAGACAGGTCAGGAGTTTGAGACCAGGCTCTTCTTGCCCAGGCTGGAGTGCAATGGCGTGATCTGGGCTCACCACAACTTCTAGCTCCTGGGTTCAAGTGATTCTCCTGTCTCAGCCTTCTGAGTAGCTGGGATTACAGGCATGCACCACCACACCTGGCTAATTTTGTATTTTTAGTAGAGATGGGGTTTCACCACGTTGGCCAGGCTGGTCTGGAACTCCTGACCTCAAGTGACTCACCCACCTCGGCCTCCCAAAGTGCTGGGATTATAGGCATGAGCCACCACACCCAACCTATAACTTGGTTTTATGTGTATAAAAGTTAGAATATTGATTAGATCATTCTTCTTTTTAAATGTAGGTGTTTATAAATTTCCCTCTGAGCACTGCTTTTGTGGTACTGCATAAGTTTTGGGAGGTTCTATATTCCTTTTCATTCAACTGAAAGCATTTTCTAATTTCCTTTGTGATTATGTATTTGATCCACTAGTTGTTTAAAAATGTGTTAATTTCATACTTCATAAGTTTTCTAGTTTTCCTCACTAAAGGGTGACTTGATAGCAGTTATACGTGTAATGTATTGCCTTCAGAAACATTCTAATTACAGACAATGAATCTCAAACAGAGGGACTCAATTTCCTCAACCTCTTATCCTGGTTGCAGATTGCCATATTAGACTGAAGGCTTCTCTTTTGTACTTCTAAAGCCTAGCCCAATGCCTGATATTCAATAGCCACGCAGTTGATATCATTATTATACGGACCTGTAAGATTTAAGTACTATGTAGAAAAAAACAAAGTAGCTTATAACAAAATAAATATCACAATCTTATATTTCACTTTAGCAGCTTACGTTCTGGTTGCTTTTCATTGGGTGTTATGGATCGCACAAAATCTTCTGGCGTCATAAACACTTCTGCTTCACCAGGCTCACTGATGACTTTCAAGGTGGCAAAATATCTGAAGATTTTGTCTGGTGTGGAGTAGGCTCGAATCCTATTCTCATATTCCATCACCTAAAGTTAGAAATTTAGAAAGTGTTACTATATTAAGCAATGCTCAGATGTTATATATTCTCATCATCATTGCTCATCAATTCTCATATATTTTCCATCTTATTTTGGGGTGAAATTCTATAATATCTTTTTTTCTATAGCTTTTTACTACTACAAACAAATATCAAAAATTTTTGATATTCTTAGAATTGTTTATTTCTTGCAACATACCATTCACATTCCAATTGAGGCAATGCTCATGTAACTTTTGTTTAGGACTTTGTTTGAAGAATTTTCTAATTTCTTAATCAGTGAAGGCTAGTAAAATTTTTAAATGTCGTAAGAAATTTCAGAAGATTTCAGTAATAGGGTACAATGTCATATATATGCCAATCTATAGGTTCTTAAATGCCAAGTCATTTTTTCTATTTTTTTACAATCCTTTTTCCAGAAGACTTTTTTAACACTCTCTTTTTAAAAAATTATTTTTATTTTTGTAGAGAGAGGGTCTCGCCAAATTGTCCAGGCTGGTCTCAAACTCCTGGGCTCAAGTGATTCTCCTACCATAGCCTCCCACAGTGCTGGGATTACAAGCATCAGCCATTGCGCCTGGCCTAAATACCAAGTTTTTATAAAGGGATTGATATTACAGTTTCTACTTCTATACAATTTCCTAATTCCTAAAACAAAACATACTTTAGATTTCATAGGTTTGAAAAGCTAGTAGGTCTTCAAAGACAAAGTACATTGAATGATGACATAGAAAAATTATATATCATGGAAACCCAATTATTAACAGGTCTAAAGCAACAGACTTTCGATTATAAAATTAAACGAACTGCCAGATATCCTTTACATATGACATATTTAGAAAGCAGCAGAGTTGGGAATCACACAAGCAAATGTTGGAATAGCAACAAAATCAAGTATGGCATACATTTAACTAAAAGGCTGTCAAGTTAATATGAAAGTTCATTCCCTTATCTGGTATATAAGCCCCACTCTGTACATGGAACATACAAAATACTACACCAGTCACATAATATTTTAGTGAAAAAAAATTTCTCTCATACCTGAATTTTCTATGTTGAAATAGCCATCAATAAATAATATTCTATCAATAACCAGCTAGAAATTGAGTCAAGGCAATAAAACCTACAATCTTATCAGTTCCATGTCTATAAAGCAATTTACGAATGTTAAGAAAAAACTTTACTGATGTTTTATTTTATTATTATTTTTGAGATGGAGTTTTGTTCTTGTTGCCCAGGCTGGTGTGCAATGGTGCTATCTCAGCTCACTGCAACCTCTGCCTCCTGGGTTCAAGCAATTCTCCTGCCTCAGCCTCCCAAGTAGCTGGGCTTACAGGCGTCCACCACTATACCTGGCTAATTTTGTGTTTTTAGTAGAGATGAGTTTCACCATGTTGGTCAGGCTGGTCTAGAACTCCTGACCTCAAGTGATCCACCAGCGTTGGCCTCCCGAAGTGCTGGGATTACAGGCATGAGCCACTACACCAGGCCTTTATGGATGTTTTAAATTTGCCACATTAACATAGCAATTACTATAACTGACAGTCCTGGCTCGATGTCACTTTGAGATCATTGGCAGCAGCTGTTTAACAAGGGTCCTAATTCCACATGTGCTTTTAGCAACTGAAAAAAGACTGCAGATTTGTAACCTCATATGACAGGAATTTTTTGAACTCTAACTTGTAATACAATCTGAATAGATTTCAGAGGAGATCTTATCAAAAGATTGAGCATGTGGCAAACACACTAAAGAACTCTGCAACCCTATGGCAGCCTTGAGACTTAGCTACAAGTCTTAAATCAAAGGCATTTTATATTATACAACAACTGTCTGCTGGGAAATAATGGCTACAGAAGAAATACCTTTCTTTAGGCCATCTGTATTCTTGTTCTTCCTCTGAATAACAACAAAAAAAAAACCATTTGGAATGTTTGGGGTGTATGAGCAGAAATTACTACCAACAAGGACATTGTGACTCTGTCAACTAAAAAGTTAAGTCAATCATATACAAAAAGAAAAATAAGAACTTAAAAATCAAGAATTTAAGACAAAATCAGATTCATTTTTGGAATAATAGGTCAAAGAAAGTAACAAACTTAGTGTATTCCTACCTCGGTAGAATTTAGTATATATCCTGCCTTTTTTTACTTAGCATTTTATCTTAGCCTGGTTAAACAGAACAACAAACTATCATATAAAGAGCTTGGAATACAGCATCCAAGATAACAAAGACTTGGAAGCAGAGATAATAGAAAAGCGTTGAAGGATTTGGGGATGTATAGCCTGAGAAAAGATATTCTAAGAGAATGATGACAGTTCATTCAGTCATTTGCCTTACACGACTTTCCGGAGCATCATTAAGACACCTGTCTTCAACAAAACTGCCAGAGTTAACTGGATCAAAATTTGGGCTTTATTTTTCCCATATGAACTGCATCAAGGAGTAACCAAAGAGTACTTATAACTAAATAGTAGATGAGGAATATTGTCTGTTTATAAAATTTCCAATTGCTAAATGAAAAAGGGGTTTGATAAAATTAGAATATCATTTTGCAACTTCAATTAACAAATATAGGCAATGGACATCAATAATTGTTAATACTGCAAAAAGAAAAGCAACTAGACATTATGTGTCTTATGAGAAAATAACATAGTACCACCACTAACCTTGCTGCAGGGATCAAACCTGAGTCTGACTGAGCCTCAGAATCCAGCTGCCAACATTCAGGTAATATAGAGAAAAGAGGAACATGGTGAAGTGCACTGTGAAAAGCATCAGTAAAACCTAGACCCCAGGTTAAATGGCCTGCATTCTGTCATCCGTAGTTTAAGAGGCTTTAAAGATATATCATGAAACACAACAGGCAAGATTAAACTATATGTCTAGGAATAAACATTGGAGTGGGAAAACTATGAAGAACAAAAATAAATGGTTACTATAAAAATCATTTTAGGTTTCTTATATCTGCATAAAACAAGAGTAAAACAATTATTTTTTAAAAATACAGACATTGGCTTACGCCTTTAATCCCAACACTTTGGGAGGCCAAGGCAGGCGGGTCACTTGAGGTCAGGAGTTCCAGACCAGCCTGGCCAATATGGTGAAACCCCATTTCTACTACAAATACAAAAATTAGGTAGTTGTGGAGGTACACGCCTGTAATTCCAGCTACTCAGGAGGCTGAGGTGGGAGAATTGCTTGAACCTGGGAGGCAGAGGTTGCAGTAAGCCAAGATTGCACCACTGCACTCCATTCTGGGTGACAGAATGAGACTCTAACTCAAAAACAAAAGAAAACAAATAAACAAAAAAAAACAACCAGACATTCTATGTGATGCTGAACAGCAAAACTAGACTCATAAAGAAGAACTCCAAATAGTAAGAGTATTTCAAAATGAAGCAAAAAATTCCCCAGCACAGGAGGTATTCAAGGGAAAGATGAAGAACATGAAGATCATCATAATTATCTCCCCTAAAAAAGAGGGGCTATGAGGATCATTTTAAAACCTTGTGTTTACAAAATGCTGTCATCTTTTAGCTTACTGTTACTTAAATTCACAAAACAAAACAAAAAAGCAGAGGAACCAATAAAAAGTAAGCCCCAGCTTGAGACTTGAATTTTAAAAAGGAAAAGTACATTGTTATAACCACACAAAAAATTCTTCAGGAAGAAAAAAGTTTTTTTTTCTGTGACTTGACAACTTTTAAGTGATATGGACCAGTGGTGAATGACACCATTCCTCCATTCTTAATAGCAGAAGCAAGGGGAAAAGAATATGAAAAGAATGAGTCTACCCAGGTTGGTAGTACTGACTGTGATGAGTACCTCACTCACTCAAACAGCAGTTTAAACTACTCCTGGGCTTGCTCCTTGAATGACACCACACACAGTTAATAGATGGTCCAAGAGGAGTTACACTGCTCCCATTACCAATCACATTCCTGCAAAGGATTACTTATCTTTTGACCACGGATGGAAGATTAGATGAGATGAACAATTGATGCCTCAACCTGCATTGTAGTCCATATCACCACCACAGGCTTCTGTTTCAAAAACCTGTATTTGTCTGTTTCAGTTGGTTTACAAATGAAGTAAGAGGAGAGGACAGGGGAAGAATGAGCTCTTTCTTTTTTGAGACGGAGTTTTGCTCTTGTTACCCAGGCTGGAATGCAATGGCGCGATCTCGGCTCACGGCAACCTCCGCCTCCTGGGTTCAGGCAATTCTCCTTCCTCAGCCTCCTGAGTAGCTGAGATTACAGGCACGCGCCACCATGCCCAGCTAATTTTTTGTATTTTTAGTAGAGACGGGGTTTCACCATGTTGACCAGGATGGTCTCGATCTCTTGGCCACCCGCCTCGGCCTCCCAAAGTGCTGGGATTACAGGCTTGAGCCACCGCACCCGGCGAGCTCTTTCTATTGTTAAAAGGGACATATTTTCCTTTGATCCTGATACCAATTAATGCAAGTGACAGTAAATCCCCGTGGGCCCTGATACCAGAAACAATACATGGGCATGGGATGCAGACTGAGGCCACACATGGAAAAGGTAGCAGGCAGAAAGGTTTTGTAGATATATCATGTGGCTGGCACACTCTCTCAAGAGGTGACATAGCCTAATCTGTAACCTAACAGTTGTCCTCCATTTTAGAGACTCCCTTTCCTTTTGCTAGTCAACTTCTGGCCAACCATAATAATGACCATCTATCACAGGATAACATCTTAAGTAATAATAATAGTAATAATATAGGTCAGTTCCAATATTAGCATTTTTTATTTTTTTGAGACCAAGTTTCACTCTTGTTGTCCAGGCTGGAGTGTAATGGCGTGATCTCAGCTCACTGCAATCTGCACCTCCCAGGTCAAGCGATTCTCATGCCTCAGCCACCCAAGTAGCTGGGATTACAGGCATGTGCCACCACGCCCAGCTAATTTTGTATTTTTAGTAGAGACAGGATTACACCAGGTTGGTCAGGCTGGTCTTAAACT